CTACCCGACGGAATCCGAAACGCCAGGACTTACTCATTTCCCAAAGGATGCCTTTCCATGAAATTACATTTCTTGGGATCCTGCCTTTCAGTTTGCACGTAATAAAACTCTTGTACCAGTGATCGCTTCTTCTTCTTCTTCGGAACATATTGAACTGAAAAAAGAATTCTAGTGACTAGCTCCACGCGAAAGATCACTGTTTACGGCTTCTGGGGCAGCCAATCACTGGTGATGCAAACCTCGCGACAACGCGGCGGCCAATAAAACGGCAACAGTCGTAGACTGACCTCAACCGGTCTGGTAATTCACCTTCAAGGCCAACTCACACAGGGCCTGACTGCAATGACTGCCGCCATACCCGCACTCCGGATGACGCACCACAAGGGAACGGACTGTACTCCTCTGAGAGTCAATTTCCTCCTATCTATTCTCCTACTCTTGTATAGAATAAACTGTTCCTACCACTCTGGTCCCCCACCGACTTTTCTCCCTCCTAAGGAACCGAGCTTGAAGATCGCACTGGCTAGGCTTTAACCTTATTAACCTTAGTGCCGAGATAGAATTGTTCGAAAAGGGATAGTTGAAAACGCACTGAAAATGGCGCTAATCGTATCTGGATTCTTTGTGTCAACTCATGGCAGGGAAACTAGTATACTTCTCGCACTAAATTTGTCCAATGCGGCCAGCAAAAATCTACGGTTCTTACCAATAAATGGGAAGTCCTCCAATGGTCTAGCTTACCCCCCACCTCTTCACCCATGACGGTGATGAATCAAGACCACCAAATGAATGTTTGTATGTTGAATATGCTGATGACATGATTGTTGATCATCCTCTTAGAACTCAAGCACGTCTCCAGGTTCTGAAGGGGGGCCAGGACCACGCCTCAGCATGGTCATTGGCCAATGTTCTTCAACTAAATGAGTGGAAGTCAGTCCAGTGCTTTACTCGAGGGCGGCCCTCTCCCAGTCCTGAATCCTTAAACATCCTGCCCAACGAGAAGTCCTCGGTGTTACATGGACATCTAATCTTTCATTTTCCTTTCATACTGAAACCCTTTGTAGTAAGAAGGAGAAAGGACGTTCACCGGGAGAGGCATATTTTTGGTCTGACGTTTCGAATAGTTATCTCAACAATCCATCTTCAGAGAATGAATCCTCTGGCTCCTGGCTCTCGATATATGCCGC